TGGGTTGTTTCTTTTGGCTATCATAAATAATGCTGCTATGAACATTTGTGCACAAGTTATTGTGTGTTATATATGTTTTCGATTCTCTTAGGTGATTACCTAGGAGTAGCATTGCTGGGTCATACAGTAACTCTATGTTTAACTTATTGAGGAACTGCTAAACTGTTTTCCAAAGCAGCTGGACCATTTTATATTCCCACCAGCAATGTATGAGGATTCCAATTATTTTCAAAGTACCATATTAATTAAAGCAATTAAACTGTAGAATGAAATGTAAATTTCTTTGTAGTTCTTTTTCTCCTTGGACTATATCCCACTAAGACTGTACCATCAAAGTATTGTGTTCTAAAGTCCCAGTCTTTTTCTCTGTGTGATATGTCACCATCCTGATATTTGTCTGACTTCATTTTCAGAGATTTCCTTTTAATTTAATAGAATTTTTGAATATGTAAAACATTTTTATGGTTCAAAAGTCAAAACTACATAAGAAGATATATTTGAAGAAGACAATATTTAAATACTTGTCCTAGCTTTATACTTCTAAATCCTATGTAACCCTGTGGTTAAAATATTTAACTATCACATTGATATCTTGAAAAATAAATACTTTGGGGTAGTGGTAGAGAAAAGATTACTTAGATCAGATTTTAAAACATCTTAATGTTTCAGAAAGCTGAATTTAAAGATTTCCAGCTGCACTACAAAAAACAAACATAATTCCTGGATTACCTTCTGTTTATCCCTGAGGGACCACGAGGTCAAGTTATCTAAAAAATTTGTGATGTCTTTAAAGTTAAGCACTTCCTTCCTCTATATTTTCTTATTAATGATTCCCTTTCTCGAGTGTTTGAAAGTTTGATACAGGAGGAAGAATACAATCAAGTCAGAAGACAAGCTCAAATAAATCAGGTAAAAATATCTGCAGTCCTTGTTCACATTTGAAATGATATCATTACATCTATCGATTAATGGATTAATTATACTTTGCAATAAGTTTATAGCAAAGTATATCTTCAATTTTTATTAAGTTGTGAAATGTAAGGCTTCATCCATACAAGTAACATATTAAGGAACAACTACACTTTACTGATAAGATAAGCCTGAAAATGAGTTTGATTTAGTCCTTGTAAAATGGTTCTCATCTTGACGGCACATTAGAATCACCTAGAAAGCTCACTGAAGTCTAGGTCTCTGTCCCAGAGACTTAGTTTAATTGGTCCTGGAGTGGGGATTGCAATGTGGACCAAGACTGAGAACAGTTTTTTAATCTGAAGGGATGGGTCAGAAAGAACATTCCGCATTCTCTCCCTTCCTGTTTCCACGGGGCCAGTAAACAACGGCCAGCTGGTGATCCCTTCAAGGAACTTTGGCACTTTTCATGAGTGATGTCATTTATTATCAAGGTGTTAACTATCACCCTTGAGAGATATTAAGTGCTCTATCTCCAATCCTGACCACTCTCCCCTAAGTTTCAGACTCAAATTACCAAATGCCTGTTGGGAATTTGCACTCGATACTCTGGCAGCTCAAGTGAAAGAAATCTCAAACACAGCTCTGCATCTTCCTCCTCTGATATTCTTTATCTCAGT